GTATTATTTCAAAAAGGTAAAAATACAACTAATAAGGCAAAAAGATTGGTGCAGTGTATGGAGAAGGTGCTGTGACTGATCGAACGTGTCAAAAGTGGTCTGTGAAGTTCCTTGGTCCTGTTGACATTTTGTTCAAATGACTCCTGGCTGTGGGCCGTCTCCTGCATTGGAAGGTGTGGAGCAGCCCCCCGGCCTCCACCCACGGGAAGCCAACGGTGGGAGAGAGCGACGTACTCAGAATATACCCAACTCATCATCAAGTTACTGGTGAGGATGAAAATGTGTCTCTTATTTTATGGCAAACGCAGAACGGACTTTTGGCCCACCCCATACATTGGTCAGTACCTCGTGGCTTTCACTTACGTGGCTACCGATGGAAATGCTGCTCACAGCTTCCTCCTCTTCCTCACAGCTGCACAGCTCTAAACTCGTACTGTATTCGCTCATCTACACACACATTTACCCGTGAGGTACAGGCCGTTACACTAGGTGCCATGAAGTATACAAAAGTAAATGAAAGTTGTTTTCCAACCCTCTGAAAGCCTGCGACCTGGCCACTGACCTGCTCCTTTGCTAGCGTGCACGTGTGTGTGTGTGTGTGTGTGTGTGACGCTGCGGGGAACAACAGTCCGAACACCTTGGTGGCACAGCACAAAGGCTTCTTTCTCAGTTGCGTTTTATTTTATGTAGCCCGCAGGCTTCTGCTTTGCTCCCCCTTATCCTCATCCCAGGACCTAGGCTAAACGAAAAGACCCGACTCAGGATGCGTCCATCTCAGCAGAGGGAAGAGAAACACAGCAGGCCCTTGACCACTCCCCAGGCTCCTGCTGGACAGGGCATTCCAGTTCTAGTAGCAGTTCATTGGCCCAAACAAGTCACTTGGCCAGTGGGGTGGTGATGTATGATCCTGTCACAGGGAATGGAAGTATTTTAAGAATTCCATCTACCACCAAGATTAAATAAAAAGTCGTTTGAATTAACATAAATGAACATTTATTTAGGTAAGGTTTACTAAGACACTATAGTGCCAGACACTATTCTAATACTTATTAGAATAGTATTTAATTTTCCTAAGAATTATTCAACAAAAATACTGCTACTGATAAAACAGACCAACTAATTATGGGTTTTTAATGAGGAAAATAAGCCAAACAATGAAACCTGTTAGAAGGAATTTAGGAAACAGTTCAACCTCACAAAACTTGGCTTCTATGTCTTCCAAAGACAGCAAAAATAGCTGCCCTTCAGAGAGACACTTGTTTATCCAGCGTATCCGAAGTAAAGCCAACCCACTGGCTTTAAACCAGGGATGTCAAAACTCATTTTCACTGGGGGCCACACCAGCCTCAGCATGGTTCCCTTCAAAAGGCCGAAATAATCTTAGGACTGTATAAATGTAACTACTCCTTAACTGTTAAGGAGTTGAAATGACATTCAGCCCTCTGAAGGCAGCCTCCGGGCTGATGTGGCCCCCAGTGAAAATGAGTTTGACACCCTTGTAAATTTAAATGTCCTAAATGTTTTTCAAATTTGGGCTGAGACACTTTCCCAGCGAGGTGTCTGATGCCCAGAACTCTCGAAACCTCAGGGCCTCACACTCCTCGGAGCTTCCTGCAGACTCATAATTTCATACTGGCTTAGATATCTAGCACTAGAGAAAGGAAACAGAACGACAGGGCAGAGCCAGAGACTAGAGCACAGAAGGAGCCTGAAAAAGGCCCCGCACACCCAGCCACCACCACAGTCCTCGGCCCCTGCTGCGGACCAGAGGTGCTCCGTTCCAGGTGAACAGGAGACTCGGTACCAAGTCAGGAGTGAAGAGACCGGACTGGCTGAGAGAAGTGTGCGTGTGCAGGTTAAACCAAAGAAAGCCGGCTGAGCCCTAAGTATTGCTATTTTGAAACAGGGTGCCATGGTCTCTGGCTTGCGGATCAATATTCTGTATTGCTATTTTGAAACAGGGTGCCATGGTCTCTGGCTTGCGGATCAATATTCTAAGTTGTTATGCTCACCGTGGATGCCCCCTTAGGAAAGTGGGGGAGACGCCAAGCCCATGGAGCCAGGAGACTCACTCTAGAGCCCAGGAACTAGACCAGGCAGATCTGAGACGCGCTTCAAATGATTTCTTCTCTCGTGCGTTTTTGAATTATCTGCTCTGCTTTTCTGTTTACTGATACAATTAAATTAAAAAGTTAACGCAGCTGGACACGGCTTCTCTCCTTCTCTCCTTCCACGGACAGCTCCCTTTCTCCAGCGTTTATGCTGCCCTCCCTAATTTTCCTCAGGTCATCTGAAACGTCACCTCATCTGCAAATGTTTTCTACACATTATTAGTTCTCCTTCCACAACGAACCTTCTCAGATCCTCACTGCTCACAAAGCACAAGGGAAAGACAGTGCTTACAGATGAACAGCAAATACGAGGTAAGGGAGAAAGGCCAGAAATGTCCCCTGAAATGAGATAGTGACCTGAACATCATAAGCTCTTTGGGTAAAAAATGAACAACAAAAAAATAAAAAGGTATAGAAAGCAAATAAATGTGTCACTGGACCTGTGTTTAACATTTATTTTCCTTGGCTTTTAAGGGTTTTTTTACGTGTGAAACAAAAGTCCTCTTATGTGACCTAAATTTTTATGTGCTTTTCAAATCTCTTCTAATACACTTGCAAGAAGAGACTCTTTAAATCTAGATAATATTAATTATCATCAACGTTTCCAAAATGTAGTATGACTTCAACTACCCTAATTGCTGACATACGGCCATGTTTTGCTTAGCCGCACACCAGTGCGCCCTTCGAATTTATTTTCAGTTCTAGGGCCACGGGAGATCCAGTATTGTTCAGAAATGCAAAATTAATGTCCAGAATGTCTAGGAGAACAAGAGCTAAGCTGACTTGCCTCTTGTCTAGCCCCACGCCACTCCATGAAGTACCCGACCTTAGAGACACACTTGCCATTCCTCAGGTCCTCCGTATGCAGAACGGTCAACTGCAAACTCACTGGCCTTTCCCCATTCACAGCATCATTACTTTCCAATGACTGTACATCATCCATTGGCTCTGGACCACTTACCGTCTGCCTTTACATGACCCACTAACCTCCCTAAAACCCACTATTTAAAACCTTAATAAAAATTACCTCCGATAATCCTGTCTAACTTACTCCTGCTCTAACCCTCTGCGGTCCCTTTGTGAAATATAACACTAAATTAACTAGCATTTTAACAACTCCCACGGGCCGCACACCCTTTTCACCAGTCCATTCAGTCCTCCTGTCCTTGTTTCCATCGTTTAGTATGGGGCAGGACACACTCTGTTCAAGCCTCGGTTAACATTTATATTGGGTTGGCCAAAAAACAAACAAAACGTGTGTTTGTTTTTCCGTAGATGGCTCTGGTAGTTGTCTTTAACCTCATTTGAGACAATTTTGTTAGACTGTATTGTGACAGCTGTCATATCAGCGTACATTTAAAAAAAAACATCAAAACTGGTGAATTTTTGTGCAGCCATTTTAATAGCAAAGATGAAAGAAAATACAAAACATTTTCAGTGCACTACACTTTATTGTTTTAAGAATGGTAAAAATGCAACTGAAACACTAAAAGATTTGTGCAGAGTATGGAGAAGGTGTTGTGATTGACTGAACCTGTCAAAAGTGGTTTGCGAAGTTTCTTGGTCCTATCGACATTCTGGCTACATACTCCTTTGCTGTGGAGTTGTCTTATGCATTGCAAGATTTTCAGCAGCACCCTGGCCTCTACTCACTGGAAGCCAAGAGCGGTAGATAGCTGACTTACTCAAAATATATCCAAATCAATAAGGTTATTAATGAAAATTAAGATGTGTCTTTTATTTTACAGAAAAAAAAAACTAAACAGACTTTGTGGACAACCCAATACTAACAAGCTGTGAAAACAATGATAAAACATAACAATTATTTGCAGATAAGAATGCCTCTGTGTGTGTGTGTGTGCGCGCGCGCACACACGCGCGAGTGCTGTTGTGTCAGGACTACAATAAAGTTTGGAAAATTCGGGGAAAGGGGAAATGAAGGATTAAGTAATGCAGTCGCAAATAAATGTCACCATTACAAAAATGCTGCAAGACAACGCAGTAACAACAACATTGAATTACTACGAGGGTTTAATAAAATTCTGGATGGGGAACATCCCAGCGTGACCACCAGCCTTTGAAAGATTAACCTCTAATATTTTACCAACACTGACTTCGCACCAAGTGTTCCTCCCAAGCAGATGGATGGATGGATGCATAAAACCGTATTTCCGTTCAGAAACCAAATCAACGGCAGTCCAAGTGAAGAGGAAGTCACACACCCTTGCAGGTAAGGGCCAGCGTGGCCGGCCAGGAGGTGAATTCACCTCCCAGCTAAGGACGTGAATGAAAAGCCAACAGGTGACTTCGCCCCCTTATGCCAGGTAAAGACTGGAGTGAAGAGCTAACAGATAACTTCATCCCCCGCAGGTAAAGACGAGATGAACAGAGCAGCAGGTGAATTCACCACACAGGTTAGGATGGGAGTGAAGAGCCAACAGGTGACTTTACCCCCCAGGTATAAACGGGAGGGGTCAGCAGGTGACTTCGCGCGCGCGCGCGCGCACACACACACACAAACACGCCCAGGTAAGGACTGGAGTGAGGAGCTAACAGGTGACTTCGCCCCTAGGTAAGGACGCGAGGGACACACCAGCAGGTGAAAAACGGAGGGTGCGCGAACCGGTGAGGCTCCGCCCCTTTTCTGGGCACCGCCGCAGCCCGGGGACAACCCGCCCGGAGACCTGCCCCGAGGCTGCAGGGCGCACAGCCCCAGGAAACCGCACGCTGCCGCCCGGCTCGCCCGGCCCGCGACCTCCCCAGTAGCGCCGCTCGCCCTCCCCCCAGGGACGCCTCCCCAGGCCTTCGCCGGGGCCCAATCACACAGAGCCCCGCGGAAGCGGAGGAGATACCCGAGAGCCTGAGGAAGAAGCCTGACAGTCCTGTTACCTGGTCGGAACCCGGGAAACGGCAACCGCAACCGCGGCCGCTGCCCTTCTCCCCGACAGAGCTCGCCCCAGAGCCTCTGACATTGAGACCGCCGCCATGTTGCCGCACGCGAACGCCGGACGGGTGCCCGAGAAGGACAAACGTCCTCTGTTCTCAAGCCCACGCAACCGCTACGCAGTGGGGCGGGGCTCTGTTGTATTTATTTTTGTCTGGTCTTTTGTTAAACGCTGGGATTTGGAAAAAGAAATGAAAGGTTTGGTTGAAGAAAATGCACAACTGCTTTAAGTGTAAATAGTACCCCCATCAATTTTTTGTTGTTGTTATGACCACTTATTTAAGGAAAGAACAAAAGAAAACACTTGAAAGTTTAAACACCTGCAACTCATAATTTTTTCAAAGGACTCCACATATTTAGGGCCGAGACCACTGGAAGAGCCAGAGGGCCCTTTTAGCTCTTGAGAACCTAAAGTAGTACTTTTGCAAAATGTTGCCAGATTGAGCTCGCCCAGCCCCAGGACCAGGCTGCGTCCCGAGTGATGCGCTCCGTTACGACAGTTTCCAATTGAACTCTGCACACGTGGCCTGGCACAGGGTTATTATTTCTCTTTCTTTTTTGATGTGTGCATGTATATGAAAAAGTCATGGAGCGTAATATTGGATGTCACCGCATTCCCAGCAGTTTCTGAATATGTGATCACAATCCGCAGACACCGAGAAAATTATTAACTCTGTCAAAAAGTCACGTGTATCTTCGGAGACACGTGTTGGAAACACGTTTGTATTGTGAGCTAGTGACCTGAAGAACAATGACTGTATATAATAAAAAGCGGGTTCGTTAGTAGGGTTTTTTAAAGAGTTTTTAAAAACAGACCGCTGCTGCTTTTAGAACTAAGCCCGTGGAAATATAACCTTTATTAAAAAAAATAGGGTTAACAGGAGGATGGGGAATGACCTGCTTCTGTATTGTGACTAATTGAAAGAAAACTTAATACATACAGAAAAGGGGGAAAGAAAGAGACTGAATAGCATTAGCGCCTAGAACCAAAGAGAGGAAACCAGTCTGGGGAAGGATAATATGCACAGAAAGATAAAGGAAGATGAGGGAGAGATGTCTCGGAGAATTTTCTATAAAATGTTTTATTTCTAAATAATATAGATTTCACAGGAAACTAAAAATAGCACAGAGAAGTGTTGTGCCGCCTTCACCGCGTTTCTTCCATTGATTGCATCCTAAGTAACTAACACAACATCAAAGCCGGGAACCAACATTGAAACAAAGTCCACTACTCTGTTTGCATTTTTATAATTTTGACATTTCAGGAATGGACTCATGCGGGATACGACTTTTTGCATTTGGCTGCTTTCATCCAGCACAATGCCCTTGAGGTCCACCCAAGTTGTTGCACATATCAACAGGTCATTCCTTTTTATTCCTGAGTAGCATTCCATGATGTGTTTACCAGGATTTCCCGAAAAACACAAAACCAATAGGATACAGACCAAGTGCCTTCACCTAATTTGACAGGCTCCACATGGCATGTGCGCCACCCTCCTCTCAAGCCTGTGACTGGGTTTCTGTCCTGCCTAGAGCCTTTCACAAGCTGCTGCCTACTGGAATGATCTTCATTTTCCACGCTTTATGTAGGCAGCTTCCCTGCCCTTAGGATCACAGCTGAGGGTCAGACCCTGTGGCGGAATCTGCCGGCATCTTATCTCATTTCCCACCTGCCCCTTTCTTGCCAACAGAGCCTCACTGACTCTTACTGTGGACACCAAAAAATGTCCTGTATTTGAATTCCCATCATCTCTTTCAGCTAGCACATGACCAGCAGGATCTGAAATCCCATCTGGGGGGAAAAAAGGCTTCAGAAAAAAAGGGACAAAGAGAAATGCCTCTTTTCCTGCCTTTGGCTGCAGTCGCATGTGGAAATAATGCCTGGAGCTGTGGCATCTTCTCAGCATGAGGGGACAAATGTAAGAGCCCAGCCAACAAGAAAGGACAGGAGAGCAGAGAGAGGCAAAGCGCCTAGGTCTTTCATGGCATTGTTGAGCTTCTGAATCAACCCAATTAAAATGCCTCCAGACTCTTTGGTATATGAAGTAAGTGGCTTAATTGTCTAACCCTCTATTGGTGAGACATCCTGCAGCAAAAACACGTTCACCGGTGCTCCTGCACAAGGAAGTTTCTGACTGCCCTGGCCACCTCAACGCCTCTTCCTGTGACCGCGGCCCCCCCACCCTCCCGCGCCGTGTCTGTCTCCTTCAGCACTGTGGTTTCAGTGCAATGTCATTATCTCCTTCTCCGAAATGGGAGGTACGTTCTCTGAGGACAGAGATCATGTGTTTTTGCTGATCGTTTTCCCAGTACCTCGCCTAGTCCCTGACACAGAATAGGCCCCAAGATAGGTATAGAATGTATGAATGGATGGCTGAATCAGCGAATGAATGAAAGAATCTAACTGAAACTTTTAAAATGTCAAAACTAAGTTAGGGAAAGTGCCATTTCTTTTGTTATTTTTGCTTAGAGAAACCTTGTACGATTTTTTAAATTTTCTCAGTTACAGTCAACATTCACTATTGTATCAGTTTCAGGTATACAGTATAGTGGTTAGACATTTATATAACTTACAAACTGATCCTCCCAATAAATATAGCATCAACCTGACACCATACATAGTTATTATAATATTATTACCTATATTCCCAATGCTATTCTTTACATCCCAGGGACTATTTTGTAACTGCCAATTTGTTGAACAAATTATTTTTAATGTGATTGTTCTCTCAGGTCTACAGAACTTATTGGTTTCTAATATTTCATCTTTGATCAAGTGCCATTTCCTGAAGACCTCGGTGGGATGTTGGGAATAGGGGCCTGTGTTGCTTGGCAAGAGACCTGAAACCATGAATCTACCTTTTACTAGACTTGCCTTTTAGAAAAAAAATTTTAATAACCCCTTTCATTTCCTTATTTCTCACATTTCAAATACAGGATATAGGACTTTCAGGAACAGAAATAATTTGCTATGGGCATTTATTTATTAATTTATTTATTTTTACAATTTCACCCAAATTATAGACTCTACCACTAGGCTTAATAGATGTCTAGGTCCAAATACCATTTTAAAATTTCAAATAGGAGTATTAAAATGTGAATCGATTTTACTTTTTGTTTGCATTTCAAGCATGGTGGCCAAAAGAAACATTTAGTTTAGTCTTTCTGATGGCATGTGAAATTTACAGTGGATCTGAAGTTGTCTGGTTTTAATTTTTTCCCCTTTGCACATGGGTCTCCAATAAAGCATCCAGAAGAAAATAAATTAAAACCAGACATTTCTATCAGAAGTTTCACAGGCAGTTGCCAAAGACTTGAAAAAATTTCACCATCACTTATTGGCTACAAACTAATATTTTAAATCGTGTTTTATTTTTCACTGCTAATTTCATTGACAAGCTTGAATTAATACATTATCATCTTATAAAATTATTATGACACTTGGCAGGGCTGCTGAGTCTTTGGCAACAAGAGAAATAATTTCTACCTATTGGGAAGAATGGCCACTTGAACTTATCTTTGGAAAACAAAGGGTCCAAACAATCAAAATTCTGAAGAACTCAAGGAATTTTCCTACATAAATTTGATCCCATGGCCCATCACAGTCTGGCATTCCACCCTAAATTCTCCAACTTAAGATGTAGAAAACCAAACTAATATATTCCTTCCCTTCCTTTTACCCGAAGCTAATCTGTTCCTCCTATCCAGTATTCTCTGTCTTGGCAAAACACTATCATCTTTCTTCCAACTGAAGATGTCATCAGCCGTAAAATGCATTGTTAGTTTTACTACAAAAAAAAATGCAAAAATTAAAGCATGACACACTACCAACTATATATTATATATCCCAATTTCAGAGAGGTGAAATGTGGCGAAATGGACATTTTAGAAGCAAATAAGTATAATTATTGCCTAACCCAACATATTTTCTGTCCTTTATGGTTATTTGTTATTTATTGGTTTTTGGAATAAAGACTTTTTTTCTTTTAGCCTCTCTCAATAGCAATAGTCATGTAACTAGTTCTGGCCAATGAAACGTAAGAAAAAAGGGTCATGTGACAACTGAGAAGCCTCCTTTAAACATAGATGGTAGTTGTACCTCCTCTCCCACCCTCTTCTCTCTGTCTCCTCTGCCATCGGCTCCCCGGATGTGAAGGTGGAGACTCAGATCATGAAGACAAGATGCCCACGTTGAGCATACAGTGAGGTGGGAGGAGCCTGGGTCAGCCATCCTTGGATTCCTTAAGAACTGCCTATCCTTGGGTCCTTCCTCCCTTGACCTGTTCTGCACTCTCTTGAAGAGGATTCTCCCTCCCTATCCAAATTAAATTCCACGGCCAATTATTACCAACAGTTTTTTTGTGTACACTCACAACTCCCTGGCCTTTCTCACTTTCTTCTACTCAGTGAAACTACCGCCTAAGCCAGCTCTTTTTATATCCTGCACCTGCGCCCACCCACGCAGCTGAACCCAACTGGGGGAAAGAGCACCAAACCAGACTCATTTGGCTTGGTTGGCCATGAACCTCAAATTGGTCCCTGATTCTCCTCGGCAATCCCACTAAACTTTTCTGTATTCCATAGTCGTGTAATCTTATCCTATTCATTTTCTCACTTCATTACATGGCTCACACTTTCTTCTCGCTGCTCAAACATCTGTTACCTTTTCCCCCTAACCTCGCTTCTCGCTGATGACTTTCCCACGCCACGGAGAAAATGGAATTAATGAAAAGGACACTGTTTTAGGCACACACCAGCAACTGCACGCACATACTGTCTTCCCTCTGTTCCCACCCCTACTGAGAGGGAATCGCTCCATTTGCACACGAACTAGGTCCCACCCTGAAGCACCCGCCTGAGGACAATGTTCCAGCACATCTGCCTGTTCTTTTCTACACCTTAAACCTTTCCCTAGTCCCTGGGACATCCTCCTCAGTTCACAAGCAATTGATCATTTCTCCCATTTAAAGAACAGCCCTGGCTGGTGTGGCTCAGTGGATTGAGTGCCAGCCTGCGTACGGGCTGAAGGGTCGCGGGTTTGATTCCCACTCAGGGCACCTGCCTGTGTTGCCAGCTAGGTC